GTATTTTATTTTTCATTCTAATATAAAGTTCTTAATCTACTGGCTTTTGAAGTACTAGTCGCTCGAACTTGCGAGAAAGAAAAAATTGTTTCTAGCGTTTAGCATTAACTGATAAATCGGACCAGATTTACGCAGACCTTTGAACACAACAAAGATTTTTCTTATTTGCGATTTTTGAGTAAGAAACTATAAGAAAACTTAAAAAACTTAAAACATGAACAATTAGACATTCATTACGAAAATGTCCGACAGTTCTGTAGTCCTCCTGGGATATTTTGAAGCCATAGGAAGATAAAAAGTCTACCGAAAATGTTAAAATTGGGAATGATTTTAGACTTGAAATAATTTTCCAAAGTTATTGCTTTGAAAGATTGAACGTCAATGCAAATACAACAGCAAAAAAAGCATAATTGCACTTGTTGTTTCCTTTACTTTTTTTCCTAAACATAATGTGCACAGACTTGTTTTTTTCTTTCAGTAACACTACGGGGAATCTTGGTATGCTTTAGAATAAAAAGATTTAAGACTTTCTGGGTTTAAACTACATTAGTGTGTTAAGAACTACTAACGTTTCAACGGTTTTATCGGTCTCGAAAGAAGCTTCCCCTGCTAAGCCTGACTTTGGTGACTAGTGAGATATAAAAACTGAATTTTTTCTAGCTGTTCCTATCAAAACCTCGCTTTTTTCTTGTGATGTGATTTCCTAAAGCGACAATAAGGGGTTGAGGTCAAGAAAAAACGAATCAAAGGAAGCAACGAGTTTCAGGGTTTGGGATTAGAAAAAAAAGAAAATGGACAAGTGACCGGAAGCTAAGTTGCTTTCCTAATTGTAGGACTGCATATTGCTGCGATGATGTTAAATGAAAGTATTGAGCGCCGATTATATGCAAAAGAACCGCTTTTAAAAATTAAGAAACTTGGCTAGCATCTGAGATGTGTTTATAGAAGTCTTTTAGCTTATTGGAGGCATGTGTGACAAGACTACATCGTAATCAGCAGTCGAGTCCAAGTAACAGGTCACTTGAGTTTAAATTTTCATGTTCGAATTCTTCTCAGAAAAAGTGAAAACATTTTGAAAATATATCAGTTTCCTTTAAACTTTCGTTATTTGTTCACTTTAATTCTCTGCTGCTTTGCGATTTTTATTTTACTTTTCTGCAGAATGGTTCTTGTCACTGCTCCACCCTAAGACTCAAGTTGTTTCAAGTTATTTGGTTTCCTTTTGTAACCTAGTAAACTGATAAGTTGGTTTCTTTTTTTTTTTTTTTGTTGGCGAAGCTTTCCAGACTTAAAATACAGTAATTTAACAAACTCCTTTTCATTATGAAGAATTTGAACAACTGGAGCAAATAAGTCAAAGTAATTACTTATTATTAATTGCTAATCTGTGCATCAATTGGTGTAATAAACGATCACTTTAAACCTTAATCTTCAGAAACCCTACTCTTATTGAAAGCTCTAGTTTTGGTGCCTCATTTCCACCAAGATGATCCTTTGGAATTTTAAATCTTAAAATTTTAAAGAAATTAAAAATTTTTTAATTTTTATTCAACTAAAGAGTTGTTTATTTTATTATAGGCAACGACTCGTTTTAAATATTAATTTTTCTTGAGGATGCTCCGCCCCCAACTATTTGAAGCCTTAATCAGCAAAGTATTCTCGCTTGAAAAGTCGAAACGCTGTTTGCATTCGACCGAAGGTACTCAAATCTTGCTAGTCACCACCCCTGTACCACTCAGACGGATCAGATAGTGAAGGACAGTATCGCACAGGAATTCTAGGAGCACAATTTACTGGCAAATCTAAATCTTAAAATTGATGAAAACCTACCGTCTTCATCCTAATAATAACGACTGGCGCAAGCAAAGGTCAAATAAATAACAATTTATGAAAAATAAATAAGTGTAAAGAAATTTCTGTCGCTTTTCCAAAAAAAAATTTAATTCAAAGGTGAACGAGGGAAAGGGAAGAAAAAAAAAGTGAAACATATATTACTATAAAAGGAATAGAAATTTTTTTGAAATGTTCAGAGAATGTTTGAAATGCTCTAAACCATTAGAGCGTTAATCGTATTTTGGGTGAATCTAGCAGCATCGTTAAAATGCCTGCTATCATCTCATTCCTACTTTTTAAATATGAGCGTTTAAATGACGTGGTATTGGTAAAGCTGTACATTGAACCTGCTAAAGTCAGTAAAAGGTGCGAGATAAGAAACTCATGTCATGACGGAATTTTTCGCTGAAAATTTTACACAACCCCTGCAGAATTTTTTTGATGAATACAGCTTTTGAGCAACCCATTTTTTTCATTTGCAAACATTGCTGACTCGAAATTTTTAAATTTTTTGATCGGAAAGATGGCCTCTGCATTCACGCGATTAAGAAAGATACTGTACCGAATGACAAGAAGGACTATTTCTGATTCAATTCAGTCATGCACCTCTCGAACGCTTCAGAACGAATTTACTGCATCTAATCAGTTCTTTATTCACATTTCCAAACTACAGTTTTTTTTACCACCAATTTTCTGCAAAAAAAAAAAAAACCTTGAAATTCTAATTTTATTTGGTAATATTTTCTCTATATGTTAAAGTGAAAACTTCACCGAACTTACGTGGTCTCCACGAAGGGAAAAAATAGTGTGATATCTACACATAAAATAAGGAGTGATCGATTCTACCGACGAATACAAGTTAGGCTGCATATTAACAGTTTCGGCTCTTTTTGACGCGTTAGTAAACTTCAAAGACCCCACATATAATTCTCTTCAAATTTTTTTCCCCTAGTGACACTGGAAGAACTGTAGGTCTCACACTGTCGACCCCCAGTTAATGTATAACACCGACATGATATACATAACTGATATTTCTTTTGTCACTCATTTATTCTAGCAGCACAGTAACGAGAGATTCATAGTCTTTCTTCGCCCCGGTTTACCCAGTTTCACTTGCTAATTTTCCTTTTGCTGCACATTTTCTTGCTGAAACCGACAACTTATAACCATTCATCGAAACTGTTTAGAAAAGTGACCATAAGCAGGATTAAGGTAAGCATTAAAGTGAAGGAGGAAACAGGACGATTAGGATCCTCATGGCCTAATGTATTATCAAAGTTTAAGTGCTTCTAAATTCTCGAAAATTGTTGGGGTGCAGCAATAAATTATAAAATTAGAGTTTTATTTCAGCTTTGTAAGGATACAATACTGTAGTGGTGTTGCAGCAGATAAAGCCAACATCGTTCAAACATGGCGATATTGGATTCAACTTACGTAGGAGAACGAGCGAAGGTTCTTGTCCTGGGCAGTGGAGGACGTGAGCATGCTTTGGCCTGGAAGTTGTCTAAAAGTAAAAGGGTTCAGACAGTGTACGTAAATCCGGGAAATGGGTCTGGTTTTCCTCGGGCACCAGGTAGATTTCCTTTGTCGCATAGTTGAGTGCATCATTTTAAGCTGTCTTTCCTTACGCTGCTAAAGTTGTTTTCGCTTCCTCTTTTCAGTTGATGTTTCTGACGTTGAGCAGATTAAATCATTTTGCCAAAACGAGAAGATATCTCTTGTTGTTATTGGACCGGAAGATTACATCTTTCGTGGTTTTTCTGATGATCTGTCATCCACAGTGGCCTGTTTTGGGCCGTCAAGGGATGCCGCTCGACTTGAGGTAACGTGGGGAAATATATACGATAAACTTTTGAGTTTTTCTGGATTAAAAACAAGAGGTTTTTGCGAACTATTTAAGCAACTGGCTTTGCTTCTAATCAGTCAGTGCCTTTCTTTTACTTTTGCAGGTGTTATTTCATTTACTTTCTAACTTTTAGTGGAGTAAATCGTTTGCTAAAAACTTCATGCAAAGTGCTGGGATTCCTACTGCTAAATTCCGTGTTTTCAATGACGTTTTCTCTGCCCGGGAGTTCCTGTCGAGGTTTGCTTCGCTATTACTGCAGTCAATTACTGATTTGTAATTTTCCAACAGTGATTTTATTTGATATTTTTTCTTTGCTCTTCACATTGAGGTTAGTCCTTTTGAACGTTATATTGGGGATTAGCTAATTAGCGCTTTACAGTGTAAACTGGGAAGGAATTGTTGTCAAGGCTGATGGACTTGCGGCAGGAAAAGGAGTTGTCGTTTGCTCGAGTAAGGAAGAAGCAGTCATGGCTGCGGAAGAAATGCTTGTTAATGTGAGTATCTGTGCAGTCAAAAAGACTTCTTTTTGTATGATTTCCAAAAAAACCTGCTTTTCTTGATATGAAAGTAAACCGTTGTGCTACTTGTTTCAAGTGTCAGCACATGTTTTTTTTGTTGGAAAATATTTTTCAAGGAGTATTTGTACACAAAATTATTGTCAATAAACTATTACAGAACAAGTTTGGCAGCGCTGGTCAGGAAGTGGTCATTGAGGAACGTCTGTACGGTGAAGAACTTTCTGTGGGTGTTTTCCTGAACCTAAGCTTCCACCACTCCTTTCACTAGTTTTTAGCTGATTGATGGCAGTTAAAGCTTGGAGGGATAATTTGGTTGGTTTGGCCTATTTAGGTTCTGTGTTTCACAGACGGAAGTGTTATCAAACTTCTTCCGCTGGTCAGAGATTACAAGAAATTATTGAATGAAGATGAAGGACCAAATACTGGTGGCATGGGCGGCGTTGGACCAATCTATGTCGAGGACGAAATATATAACCAGCTTGTGGAAATATGCGGTAGAACAGTAGCAAGTTTGAAAAAAAGAGGTTTTACATATAAAGGTATTTCCTTTCAGTCCTTCATTAGTCGTCTGCATCTTGCATTTCTTTTGCAGTGTGCAATGTTTAGTTTGTTTCATTACGGTAACTGTCAGGAATTTAGGTCTGCTCTATGTCGGCGCGATGGTTACAGAGCAGGGTGTTAAGGTGCTGGAGTACAACTGCCGCTTTGGTGATCCAGAAACTCAAGTTTTAATGAGAATTCTTCAGACTGACTTGTACGATGTTATGTATGCTTGCTGTTTTTCGAGGCTCAATGAAATTCATTTATCATTTTTGTCTGACTTTGCGTGTGCTGTTGTGCTAGCAAATGAAGGCTATCCCGCGAAGGTGGTAAAAGGCGGTGTTATTTCAGGTACTGATGAAACAGTAAAAGATTCAGACATAAAGAATGTTCAGATATCCTAAAGACTGCTTGAGTTTATTGTTTAAATGGGGAAGCTTGACAACACCTATTATATTTTTTAATTTTTTATTTCTCCCAACTTCCTTTTTTTACAACCGAATTTACAGGCTTGGTGGAAGCTGAGCAGTGTGATGGCGTACTTGTTTTTCACGCTGGTACTAAGACGAGTGGAGCAGAAAGTAAGATTTAGGACATCATTCTTGAACGGTGGTGTAGATGCTGTGGGAAGTTTCTTATTGTGTGCTGCTTAACCCTTCATCTTAAGTTTTGGCGGATGGAGGGCGCGTTCTCTGCGTGACTGCAACTGGAAAAACCGTCAGTGATGCTCGAGGTCGGGCCTATAAAGCTGTACGGAAGATTCTTTTTAAGGGTATGCAATATCGGATGGATATTGGGAACAGATACGTTGAAAGGTGACTATCTGTTTTTCTTGTTCAATTGTGCTGGAATATGACTGGTTTATTTTCAGCACACTTACTTATGCCGGCAGCGGAGTCAGTATTGACGAAGGGAATAAGCTTGTTCAAAGGATAAAAGCGTTGTGTAATGAAGGAGTAGAGCAGGACGCTGGAAGAATTGGAGGGTTTTCTGCTTTAATCGATTTTGCTAAAATTGGTCGAGGAAATTTTGGTACTTCACAAATTGAAGTTGGTATTGACGGCGTTGGGACTAAATTACTGGTAGGCCGTCAATTCTTTCTTGTCATCTGGTTTTTGTCTGCTTAAAGACATTTCAAGTCTTATATTTAATTTAATGCTGCTTGTAGGATATGTGAATTTACTTTATTCTATTTTCAATATGTTTATACAGATTGCGGATAAGGTTGGGAATTTTGCAAGCGTAGGGCAAGATTTACTTGCAATGTGCTGTAACGACGTTATGTGCCATCTGGCGAAACCTGTTGTGTTCGTTTTTTACTACGGCGTTGGGAAATTTCAGAAGTCACGAGATGTCCAAGTACTTGGCTCTATCGCAGCTGCGTGTGAACGTATTGAGTGTAAAGTAGAAGGTCTTTTTAGTGAAAGGAATTGTTTGTTTTGGTCGGCTGAGTCATTATTTAACGCTTCATTCGCTGTCACTACAGTACGCTACTGAATAGCAACCGTTTTCCAGGAGAAATCATCCATTCGCCGACTGTTTATAAAGAAACTCAATGGGATGTCGTAGGAGCGTGTATTGGCTCTCGGGATAGACATTGGAGGAGATTGCCTTTGAAAGAAAAGTATACTGCTTGGCCTACTTTCTTTTTTGCTAACTGTTATGACAGTTTTGACTTAACTCGCATTATTAGGATGGCAGTTGGTGATGTCCTAGTCGGGATTGCTTCGAGCGGACTGCATAGCAACGGTTTTTCTCTTGTGCGCCAGATTGTCGATAAGGAAAGCTTAGAATACACGAGTCCATGTCCCTGGAATCCACTGGAGACCCTTGGTTTCTCTTCTTTCAATTTGCAACCTTTGGGATT